GAGACGGAGTTTCGCTGTTGTTACCCAGACTGGAGTGCAATGGCGTGATCTCGGCTCACCATAACCTCCACCTTCTGGGTTCAAGCAATTCTCCTGCCTTAGCCTCCCGAGTAGCTGGGACTACAGGCGCGCACCACCTTGCCCAGCTAATTTTTTGTATTTTTAGTAGAGACGGGGTTTCACCATGTTGACCAGGATGGTCTCGATCTCTTGACCTCGTGATCCACCCGCCTCGGCCTCGCCAAGTGCTGGGATTATAGGCGTGAGCCACCGCGCCCTGCCTGATCCTGTTTTCTTACGACCTACTCGCACCTGCTCTGCGGGGCTTTGGTCTGGAATGACTTGTTTGTGCCGGTCGTCTAGGGGTCTCCGACCTGGACTGCGCGCGCCCCCTCGCGGTTACCGTGGAGACTAGACGTCTGTGATTCTTTTCCTCCAGGAAAAGAAACAGGAAGTGGCGGTGACTTCCGTGTAGTGGCCAAGGCACGCACCGCCTCAGAACTATGGGGTGGGTGTCCTAGGATTTCTGGGCACAGGGTTGGGTCCGCGGCCCCAGGTTTTCTGTCGTCTCCTCCCTGGGTCTCTGGACTGTGCAGGAGACGCCAATGCTGGGTTTAGGAAGGCTATGCTGTTGGTGTCCCACGCAGGAGGAGTCTGGAGGAATCAGCTGAGTCTGGGGTCTTTCGCCCCAGGCAAGGCGGTCGCAAGCCAGGCGATCTGGGTCGGGTTTGAATCCCCGCTCTGTGACAGCGAGCAGACTTCCCCTCGATGAGCCTCAACTTCCCTATCTGTGAAGTGGGGATGATGACGGCTACCCCATTGGAGCCAAGATTGCCAGGTAGCCTGACTGACATCTAGGCAGTCTTATGGGGCTCAGGGACTATGGGCTCGCAGGTAGGGTACCACTTCTCCACATACTGCTCCCTCTAAAGCCTGGGAAACCTTGCACCCTCAAGCACTCTGGGAGACTGGGGTCAGGGGTGCAGTGACATTCTTTAATGTCTTTATTAGTACAGAAAACAGATACTGGTTTATCACAATACCAAAATAAATTAGAATTTCTGCCGACCGCTTCTAACACTGTTTATTAAAATATTATTTAGTTATTTCTGCTCAAAATGATTCATGACAAATTATTTCCACCATCACTTTATCTTTTTTAATGTTTCATGGGGTAATTTGACCCCTAACAAAATCCAATCCTTGCATTAAGGATTTTTCTTATCTGGCTAGGTTATAGTTAGATTGGGAAAATATATTTGCATTTCATCAACAGCTTTATTCTTTATTTTTTTCTCAAGACGGAGTCTTGCTCTGTTGCCCAGGCTGGAGTGCAATGGCACGATCTTGGCTCACTGCAACCTCCATCTCCTGGGTTCAAGCAATTCTCCTGCCTCAGCCTCCCTAGTAGCTGGGATCACAGGTGCATACCACCACGCCCAGTTAATTTTTTGTATTTTTAGTAGAGATGAGGTCTCAAACTCCTGAACTCGTGATCTGCCCTCCTCAGCCTCCCAACGTGCTGGGATTACAGATGTGAGCTACCATGCGTGGTCTTTCAACAGCTTATTTTAAGGTGATTTTATCTGTTTAATCCTCAGCTTTGTTTCAAAGAGGGGGAGGTGGTAATAGTTTCTTGCCCACTGGTGTGTGCCAGACAGAGTGCCAGGCACGGGTGCAGAGGTGAATCAGATGACAGCTACCTCTCACCACGAGGGGTGGCTGAAAGTGTGACTGGACTACAGGCAATCCTGGCCTTGGCAGGTGAGACCAGGTGTTGTATTGAGGGAGGACTTCCCTAGCTCATCTTCTGGTCACCTCCACAGGTGAGCTCTACTGTGCCCTGGAGGAAACTGTGATACATAGAGGGCATGTGGGGCCTGGTCCCCTCATTTTAGCTCAGCTTCCAGGACAGAGAGGCCCACTCCCTGCAGCTTCACAGCTATTCTGAAGAGTTGGGATAAAAAGAGGAGATTGAGTCCAGGCGTGGTAGCTTATGCCTGTAATCCCAGCACTTTGGGAGGCTGAGGTGAGTTGATCACCTGAGGTCAGGAATTCGAGACCAGCCTGGCCAACATGGTGAAACCTCGTTTCTACTAAAAATACAAAGAATACATGTGGTGGCAGGCATCTGTAATCCCAGCTGCTTGGGAGGCTGAAGCAGGATAATTGCTTGAACCCAGGAGGCAGAGGTTGCAGTGAGCTGAGACCACACCATTGCATTCCAGCCTGGGCAGCAAGAGTGAAACTCCATCTCAAAAAAAAAAAAAAAAAAAAGAGGAGATGGGAGAAAGAATCAATGGGAAAAACCAGAATGTGGAGAATGTTGCCAAATGCCAATTTACTACCTTAATTTCCTGACCAGATTTGACCATTTGATGTCTGCGGCTCTCCTCCCACTCACACATGTGCTGGTGGCCTTCCTAGAAGGGAAATAGGAGGGCCTCGAGGTCCCTGGTCCTGAGGGATGTCATTCTAAGCGTGTTTTAGACTGGATGCTTAAGCTTTTTCCTTCTTGTGCCCTCCACACCCCTTCAGAAAAGTTTGCGCTCTCTCTGAATCCTGCAGCATGTTTTCAGAGGCTGTTAGTTGCCAGATTCTGTGGTGAGCTGTGGATGGGAGGGAATTCAATAGTGGGTGAGTGTGGAGATAGAAAGGGAGCAGGAGTGTGACTCTGCCTTCCCTGTTGTACAATCATATGGTGACATGAATAAAACCAAGGGAGAAACAGTTTCCTCTCACCCATGTTCTCCTCGAGGTTCTCCCTCTGATGTAAGCTCTAAGTACTGCTCCTCTTACTGGAGTTCAATCCTGACTAAAGAAAGAGTACTTATGGGCTGGGCGTGGTGGCTTATGCCTGTAAACCTAGCACTTTCAGAGGCTGAGGCAGGCAGATTACCTGGGGTTGGAAGTTCAAGACCAGTTTGGCCAACATGGTGAAACCCCATCTCTACTAAAAATACAAAAAATTAGCCAGGCACGATGACTCGTGCCTGTAGTAGTCCCAGCACTTTGGGAGGCTGAGACAGGTGGATCACCTGAGATCAGGAGTTTGAGACCAGCCTGGCCAACATAGTGAAACCCCTTCTCTACAAAAAATTAGCTGGCCATGGTGTCAGGCACCTGTAATCCCGGCTACTAGGGAGGCTGAGGCAGGAGAATCACTTGAACCCGGGAGGCAGAGGTTGCAGTGAGCTGAGATCATGCCATTGCACTCCAGCCTGGAAAACAAAAGCAAAACTCCATCTTAAAAATTAAATATACAAAGAATTAGCCAGGTGCAGTGGCGCACGCTGATAATCCCAGTTACTCTGGAAGCTGAAGCAGGAGGCGGAGGTTTCGGCGAGCTGAGATCTCGCCACTACACTCCAGCCTAGGCTATAGAGCGAGACTTCCTCTCAAAAAAAAGAAAAAAGAAGGCCGGGCTCGGTGGCTCAAGCCTGTAATCCCAGCACTTTGGGAGGCCGAGGCGGGTGGATCACGAGGTCAAAAGATCGAGACCATCCTGGTCAACATGGTGAAAGGTCTCTAGTAAAAATTACAAAAAAATTAGCTGGGCATGGTGGCGCGTGCCTGTAATCCCAGCTACTCAGGAGGGTGAGGCAGGAGAATTGCCTGAACCCAGGGGGCGGAGGTTGCGGTGAGCCGAGATCCCGCCATTGCACTCCAGCCTGGGTAACAAGAGGGAAACTCCGTCTCAAAAAAAAAAAAAAAAGATAAAAGAAAGAAAAGAAAGAGTACAAATGGTCAACAAATGCATGGGAACATGGTCTACCTCATGTGCAATCAGAGAAGCCAATTAAGATGGCAATAATACAATAATGAGCAGTTTTAGACAATTTTAAATGTGCATAATCCAGCAATTCTGATTCTAGAAATGTATAAAAAAATCATTGAATCAATGTGTCAAGATAAATGTGTTAGGGTATTTTTGAATCACTGATTCGAACAGATGCTTCTTAGCATGGGGTTGCTTAATAAGTTATAAAGCATATATAGGCTGAAATGTCACATAGATTAAGGAGTTGGTCGCCTCATTGTTTCCTCCCTGTTTCACCAAAGCCCATGTGGTTCTGGCCTCATCACAGCCTCTGGCACCCCCGACTATCATGGTCAAACGCTGGACATCCCTGCTGTGGGGGCTGCAAACAGCCCAGGAACGGGTACCAAGAACGTGCGACAGGGTGGGGAGACACTGAACCAGCAGCTTCTCAAAAGGACAGATGTGCTTCCCGAGGTCTCTTCCTAGAAGGCTACGCCAGAACAGTCTTCTGTGGATCCTGGCTGTTCCGGTGTCTGAAGGGGGTATGGTACACCTCACTGGGTCTGGCTGAATTCCTGAATTCCAGGCAATGAGGTTAAAAAATGAAAAAAGAAAAAAAGGAAAAAAAATTCTGCCCAGCATCTGAGATGGATGCTGCTGTTTAGGGAAGCCAGCACCCATTCTCCCTTTCCCTGGCAATAATGTGAGTGTTCTTTTGGGCAACCACTGTTTCACACTTCCAGCCCCTGAAGTTCAGGTGAGGCTGGCACTACTCCTTGGTTCTAGACGTCACTACTTCCAAGTCAATCCCCGAACTTCTGCTAGCATTACCAAGACTTCCTCCACTTAAGCCCTCCAAAGAGATGTGGGCAGGGTGGTGGAGCCACAAGCGAAAGTGCAGGAATCCTGTGTTAGCAGTGGCCAAGCTTAGGCCAGACAAGGAAAGGGAGGGGATCCTGGGACCTGGAAGGAGAGTCATATAGAGGAGCCTACCCTGTTGAATGGATGGAGATGACAAATTCCAAGGTTTTTTGAGGCAAAAAGACCAAGATAAGGCTGGGACTGAGGGGAGATCCATGCAGCAGGAGCCAGGTGGTAAAGACAGAGGGGAAGAGAAGGCTATTATGGATTTTATTCTAAATGGCCTTTGCATAAAAGTCACCACATAATAGTTTTATTTATTTATTTTATTTTTATTAATTTTCTTCTAAACACAGAACACATAATTTTACTGTTTTTTGTTGTTAATGGTGGTGGTGTTTTTTTTTTTTTTTTCTCTTTAGAGACAGGGTCTTACTCTGTCACTCAGGCTTCAGTGCTCACTGCTGCCTCTAACTCCTGGACTCAAGCAATCCTATAGGCATGGGCCAGCACACCCAGCCTAGAGTTTTGTTTGTTTCTTTGTTTTCTAAGTTTAAGCTATTTATTTAAGCCATCTTCTGCTGCAAGCAAAGGGATGGAAAATCAGCATGCCAGTCATCATCTGACACAGGTGAGCCTAAGGTCCTGTATACTTTTTCTGGTCCGTGTGCAGAGTATGGTCCAAACCAGTGCTGTGGTCCCCAGTGCCCGGGTAGTGGTCCAGATTCTCTTTATTCATCTTCATAGCCAGTTGGAAGTGGATTCACACGAGGGCTATGGAATAGAGTATGGTTACTATCTCCCCAGGGAGATGGCTTGGTCCTGATGCGGAGATGGGGGTAGGGGATGAACTTGGGTCTCTTGTGCTCTCCATGGTGTGACTTTAGAAACACATTCAACATGCTGACTGCCACCCCGGGGAGCGTGATGAAGAAGGTGAGGGCCTTCCACATGCTAGCCTTTCCCTGTCCACCATGGGTACCACTGGACATAAACCACCCCAGCTGTGGACAAGACCAACCCAGCAGCCGAGAAATCCGTGAGGCAACAGCTGCCACCATTTTTGCCCTGGACCCCAGCCTAGAGTTTTAATTAGAAGTCAGTAGTCTGATTTGTGTTTTTGGAGGATCACTTTGGATCCAGGGTGGAGAAATGTATTGGATATGGGGACAAAGTCAGAAGTAGAAAAAGCCCTTAGGAAGAGGAGATAGTGTTCTCGAGGAAGGGGGCAGTGGAGACCGACAAAGTGTCAAGAGTTAGGTGCCAAGATACAAGGCAAAGGGCCAGGAGGAGTGTGGTGAAAAGCTGGATAGCTTGGGCTACTCCACTTCTCTGAGCCTCAGTTTCCTCTTCCATAAAAATAATATCCACTTCATGAGGGTAGGTTAGACAAAGGCAGTAGCTGAGAGTATTGTTTTTAGTCAGATCTGGATTTGGATCTCGGGTCTGGCAGGTGACAGTTGTGTGACCTTATGAGAGACTGTTAATGATAGCCTTTGTTATGTTTCAACCAACAGAACTCTCCCCACACTAGGATACTTATTCTAGCTTCCATGGGGGGTGGGGGGCAAGTACCATGGAGACAGCAAGGCTTTTGACCAAAGTCCTACTAGTAAATGTGGAGCCAGGATTTCTCTGTCGCGTTCCCCTAACTTTTCTGCGTCTGAAACTGGGATAGCAATAATACTGACACTTACCTGTGTGGTTGGGAGTACACAGAAAGGGGTCTGGCACATAGCAGGTACTTATTAAAATTATTATTATTCTATTCTTTGTGTTTTCCTGAGTTTTTACATGGAGTGAGCATCATTTGGACAAATCCTTTGGATTAAAAAAGTATCTACTAAGTGAGGGGGAAAAAACTGCGGCTGCCAGTCTTGGCAGGGGCTTGGGGCGTGACAGGGGGCGTGGTCTAAGGGGGCAGAGCCACGACTGGAGGGCTAGGCTGTGGGGGCGGGGCCAGGACAAGAGAACTGAGGATTGGGGTGGGGCCCGGGTTGGCGACGCATGCCCAGTGAGGTCCTCTTGGCTGCCGCCGCCGCCGGGGCCACCGCCCACTCGGGGCTGGCCAGCGGCGGGCGGCCGGGGCACAGAGAAGGGCACGCCTGGGCGAGCGCACGGCTATGGCCCCGTGGCTGCAGCTCTGCTCCGTCTTCTTCACAGTCAACGCCTGCCTCAACGGCTCGCAAGTGGCTGTGGCCGCTGGCGGGTCGGGCCGCGCGCGGGGCGCCGACACCTGTGGCTGGAGGGTAAGGCGAGGGCGGCGGGTATGTTGCTGTAGCCAACTCGCGGGGGACGCAGCTCGCACAGGTGCTCGCGGGGAGGCGAGCTCGCGCCAGCCTGTCTGCTCTCCGCGGCTTTCGCGGCCGGCCGGGGTCCCGCTCCTCCCGCGCATCTTCCTGCTTTGCTTTCCCTCCCGGGGCGCGCGTCCTCCGGCCCCCGCCGGGGTGAAAGCGTCTGCCGGACCCAGGCTTTGTGTTGCTAATGAGGTGCGGCCGCCTGCCGGGGTCCCTTTCTGAGGGCAGGCGTGAGGGTCGGTGGGGCTGGGCAGGGCGCCCCACCCTTTGTTCTTCGCCCGGGACCTCCTTAGCCCCAGCGCTGCTTGTCCCGGGCTGGCATCCCCCGAGCCATCCGGACTGGGGAGCGCGCTTTGGAGAGGGAAGGGTGTCTTCTCCCGGACTTCCAGCTCTGCCAAGGCCCGGGCGGCAGGAGAGGGGACCTGGAGCTCAGGGGAGGGATGCGCCGCGCTCTTCTGGTAGCTTTGTTCCTCCTCGCCTGGGGCCGTCACCTTACTTCTAGCGCTCCTCAGACTCCGGGACCTCCTGAGAAACTTTGCCTCCCGGTTCAGTCCTTCGTCTTGTGAAGGTCTCGCGGCTGTTGCCTTCCTTCCCCTCTGCGAGTTGCGGATATTTTTCCGCCAAAGGGCCGCGTGAGTGTCACCTGGGTCAGGTGCCCAAGGCGAGACTAGAGAGGTTCCCAAACTTTGGCCGTGTGCGTGGAGCAGTCTCTCTGGAACCGAGCGCTCCTTTGACACTGTCTCGGCCGTGTGCACAGGTCATTGCCATCCCCTTCCCGGCTCCTTACCTGGGCTTCTGGCCTTGGGCGGCCCCAGAACCTGGGGATTACATCCGCCTGCCCCGAGCTTCCCACAGAGGCCAGGATGGACCCAGGGTTAGGTTACTCACGGCCTTAAGCCTTGTGAAGAAAACGGAGGCTTTGCACTCAGGCAGCAGTGACATGATCTTGGCTCTGCTCCTGGGGAGCCATGAGCCTCAATTTCTTCATGTGACAAACGGGATGAAATGAGAATTTCCTTAGTGTTGCTGGGCTGAAGGATAGGTATGGAGTGGTTTGCTTAGGCCAACGTTGACTCACCCCTCTTGTGGGTGGCTCCAAACAGCCTCAGCACGGTCAAAACCTAGGACATAACAAAGCGCATAGGGTTCGGGTTGGTGCCTCCAAGCTCACTTACCCCACAGTCCAAGAAATGTGGTGCAGAAAACCAGGTGTGAGCCAGGCAGCTGGGCTGTCTTCAGACTCAATAGCTAAGCTATGGAGACAGCTAGCTTATGTGAGTCGCCCTGCCTCACACCCCACCCCCTTGGACTCTATATTTCCTTCCCAGTTAAGTAAAGCATCACATTTTCTTACTCCTCCATTTTAGTAAAACATCACTGCTCTTGTTTTATTGTTTCAAAAAAGTTTTAGTAGCTAACAAGTTTTCTCAAGGCTGTCTTGTGTTGACTTACAGATTCTACCAGCATTTTGGATTTAGACTTTTGCTGGCTTTTAAGTGACTGCAATAGCATCATAGGCGTTTTATTCTGAGTGTTCATGTGATGGCAGAGGTAAAGCAGTCTGATTTGCTATTTTGCTGCAGTTGCCAAGGTGACTTCATATGCCAGTGTACAAAACTCGAGAAGTTTTAATGCTGTGGGGTATAATAGTGCCCTGACAGAGCCAGGCTGATGATTTTATTCTACCTGTGGGACTGTGTTCTCCTCTCCCAGACCTGCACCCTCACAGAATGATGGCTCTGTCCCAGTCACCTCACACTCATGCTGACCTTTTCCCCACTACAACCCCTAGTTGGGGGTAACTTTCTCAACTGCTCCTGCCTTGGCCCCACCAATCCTTTCCTTGGGTCATCTTTATTCCCTTCCTGTATGATCGTAGAACCTGGGCCATGTTCTAGATTCCAGGCTCATCCAGGCTGATACATGGTTCCTTCTCCTGGATTTGTTGCTTGGTGCATTTCATGGACCCAGTTTACCCACATGCTTTGCATTCCCATCCTTTTCAGCCTCACCGTCTGCCCCTCGTACCCTGCTCCTAACTCAGGATGGATGCCCTCTGTGCTTCGAAGGCATGCTTTTCCCACCTCCTAGGATGCCTTTTCATCCCTGAGAATTCCTTGCCTAGCTTAAGACTCAGTTCAGGGAACTGAGCTTTCCTCAGGGAAGCCCTACTGAATGCCATGCCCTTTGCTTTGCCTTCTCATGCAGGTCCTTGCACTTTGGCCTCATCAGACCACATTTTCAGTATTTGTTCACTTCTGTGTCTTCAGACTACTTTCTTTCTCTCTTTTTTTTTTTTTTTTTTTTTTTTGAGATGGAGTTTCGCTCTTGTTACCCAGACTGGAGTGCAATGGCGTGATCTCGGCTCACTGCAACCTCCACCTCCTGGGTTCAAGCAGTTCTCCTGCCTCAGCCTCCCGAGTAGCTGGGACTACAGGCACATACCACCATGCCCAGCTAATTTTTAGTAGAGATGGGGTTTCACCATGTTGACCAGGATGGTCTCGATCTCCTGACCTCGTGATCCATCCACCTCGGCCTCGCAAAGTGCTGGGATTATAGGTGTGAGCCACTGTGCCCGACCCAAACTAGTTTCTTTAGCCAGGCACTGAACCTCATCTTGGTGGCCTCAGAGCCCTGTAAATCTTGGCTGAACCAAATTAGAACTTGCTGCCTTCCTGCTAAATGCTGTATTTCCTGATAGATTTTAAGAAGTAGAGGCAAAGATCAGAGCCTCAAGTTCCATTGTCTTTGCAGAAGGCCTTTGCACATGCTGTTCCTGCCTATGTTCCTTCACTTTACACCTCTGCACCTTCCCTAGCATCACTTCTGCAGAAAACTCCCTGTTCACACCTCCCTGGGTCATGTCTTCCAGAAGCTGCTCTGTCAAGGAGTCAGCCAAAAAGTACTGGTACACAGTGACTAGAGTATTTGATTCATGTTTGGGTCACCTACCAAATGGTAGGTACTCAGTCCATAGAGGTCGGCTTCAGCTCTAAGGTTTCTTACAGTTGGGCTATAGGAACATAGAAGAATAAGGGTCGACTGTATGTGATGCAAATCAGAGGAGGCTTCCTGTGGATCTGGGTCATACTCAGACCCTGAGAGGAGGCAGCAAGGTGCAGTACCAAGCCCTGAGAGACCAGATTTGGGTGCTCGAGCAGAGCTGAGCAAAAGATCCCCTTGATCTCCAGGGAACATTTGTTCCAGGAACTCTTGCCCCTGCAGGAATGTGTATTTTCACAGGACTTGCAAGGTGACTGCAGCCAGCCAACCCTCTGCAGCCCTGTTAACAGACCCTTCAGGGTCTGCTCCCAGAGGAGCCAGGAGCTGGTCTGGTTTAAGTGGTCAGGTTTCACAACCTCCCTATTATTAGTTGGGCAATTAAGAGGCTGATACCATCTTGAACACAGGTCAGTGTTTTAGAAATGAGTCGTGGGCACACTTCCTCAACTACTTTAAAAAAATTCTTTTAGGGTCTTTGCCAGATAAGATTGCTCCTTGAGTAATAAATACTGTGTTCCCAGAGAAGCAATAACTTGTAAAACCTCCAGAGGGACCCGCGTCTTCATTTACACTGGCTCTTGTCTTGCTTTTAGAGAGTGGAATGTTTTGTTACTGGAAGCAAGTTTTGTTCGTAACTTTAATTGTGTCAGTCACTTGTACTGAAGTTCTGCCTCCCCTCATCTTGCTGGTCTAGAAGCTTATTTATGGAACAAGGAGTTAGGAATCTACTCCCACAGGTTTTTATTTAGTGTCTTTTCCTGCAGTAGGGGAGGAGGGAACATTTCATGCCTCCTTACCTAAATGGGGTATACCTTCTCTGGTCTATTATCCCTGAAACACAATTCCTACTGCCCCTGCAAAAAAACACTACTCCTTCAGGAATTTGGGAAGCCAGGATGCTGGCATCATCTTTACAATGAAATGCAAGTTTCCCATTTAAGGCAAATACTTCATCTCAAAAGGTAGGAAGGAATAGGGTGGTACTTGGAAAAGAGAAGTTCCAGCTGGTTAAAATTTAGGTTCCTGATAAAAGTCCAATCCAAGAATTATCCTTGGCTGTGGGCCCAGGCATGTTTATTTGATTCTGAATTGGATGCATTTTCATTCACTTGCAGCTCATGGCTCCGAGGCCCACATCTGGTCTGCCTATAGTATGGCCATGTCATCCATGTTACAGATACTCTTGTGTCTGTTACAGAATTGTTGGTTAAAAAAATTACTCTGTCCTGGTTGATACATTTTTTAAGAGAGACGTTTTTATAAGCAGTGCAACGCTTTCTTCCAGCCTCTTTTGCCTAGTTAATTGGGAACTCTCATGGCCCATGTCCATCTTTCTTGAGCAGCCCTCTCTTCTCTCCCCACCCCGACCCATCCACCCAACCCCAAGCCCCTGCAGTGCCTGGGGCATTCCGCTGGTTATTAACTTGGACATACAGCTCGGTGACTAGGAGACCAGCAGCTACTTTCTCTCCAAGACACCCAGGGCCTTCCAGTATCAGAATTGCCTTAGGACCTTGTTAAAATGCAGATTGAAAGTTAATGGGATCAGAGTGGGAGAGTCGAGCCCAGGAATTGGCATTTTAACAAGTTCCTCTGAAGATACTTATGCTGTAACAAGGATGAGAGACCTATTTATTGTTTTAGGGGACAGGGCTTCCACAGTCTGGAGAAGGGGAGAAGACACATTCTAAACATTTAAAATCAGAGTTTGGCTTTAAATTATGTCCCTGGACTTAGAGAGGAATGTGGAGACTTTCTCAGAGCCCTGACCAATAAAAGGGGTCAGGCTTGCTGGGGAGTGTGAGGACAGGGGTGAGGAGGAGCTGGTTTGGATGGGTGCCTCTGGCCTGGGGCTGATGAGGAGGCCTGGAGTCGACTTGACACTTCCACTGGGTTCCTCCCTAGAACTGCTGGGTTTGTCTGAAAACAGTCTGAGGAAGGAGTAGCAGAGGATCCAAATCAGATTCTCGCAGTTCAAATCTTACAACTTCCCGACAAAGGAAAGAACTGCTAAATGCTTTTAAGTATTTTTCATGCTTCATTTGGCCTAAAACATGTTTTTTTTCTTTTTCCCCTTTTTTCTTCTTTAAAGCTTTCAAGGCTTTTTCCTCCTCTGTCCCTGAACTTTTTATATACTATGCCCCAGCAGATGTCTGCTCCTGCTGGGGCTACCCCATCAACAATTT